CTCTAAAAGAGCTGCTTGTTCTTAAAGCAAGTGACTTTGTAGTTTCCTTGTTTTTAGGGCCAAATACCTATTCATTCTCTTAAGCTGGTAAAAAATTCTTTTCAGGAAAGTTTCCACCAGTTGTTTTTATTGGCAGTAGTTCAGGTTTCAGAAGAATACAGTAAGTTAAACCAGACCATTGGACTTATTGTTGTTATCCTTAGTGCTTAGACGAAAGCATAATATTTGCAGTTCTCGACAGTGCTTAGCTTTAAAACACACCTTAAGCTTCTATAATAGGTAAAGAGAGTTTATTTCTTTTATTCATATTATGACCAATTACCTAATGCATATCACAATTAAATTAAATAATGCCACACAGAGCAGTATAAATTAGTCTGTCTTTGCTTTTGTAGCTGTAGTTACTTTTATTATTTTAACTCATTAAGTCCCAAGTGTTCAATTCATTGAATATTTTCAATGAAACTGATACAAGTGCATTAAAAAAGGTAGGGAAATTTGGAGCTTATATATGCCACTATATTAACTAATATTATTATATCATAATTATTATCACTATGTTCTTATTATGTAATTATTTATAAACATTATTTAAATTTTTGTAGGTGTTCCATATTTGGGTCGAAGGGATAAAACTGGGTTAATAAACTTTATGGGAAAGCTGTACACCACCACAACCATCCCTGTGTTCTTACTGATCTTTTTTTTGTTGTTATGTCTTCTTGTTTTTTTTAGATATTTATTTTTTGTGGTAGTTGGACACAATACCTTTATTTTATTTATTTATTTTTATGTTGTGCTGAGGATTGAACCCAGGGCCTTGCATGTGCTAGGCGAGTGCTCTACAGCTGAGCCACAACCCCAGCCCTGGGTGTGTCTCTTCTTGGAATAGCTTCCCCCCCCCCCCCCAAATTTTTTTTCTACAAATTGGTACATAATAATTATACAGAATAGTGGATTTCAATTGTGGCACATTTATACATGTACATAACATACTTAGATCAATCTGATTTTCTAGTATCTCCCTTTACCATCCTTTCCTCCCTCCCCCGTTTTCTTTCTTTCCCCTACCTGCCTCCCTTCTATTTTCATTAGATTCTTTTTCTTCCTTCTTTTTTATTGAGATAGGCTGGTCTTGAACTCCTGGGCTCAACTGATCCTCCTGCCTCACCCTCCCAAGTAGCTTGGACTAAGGCAGGTGTTAACAACCAGCTAAATGTATTCCTTCTATATAAAAGAGAATGGCGGCACAGATGGGCCTATATCCAAAGTGAGCGAAATGTAAGACCAGAAACAAATCTATCTCCTCTGATTATTAGCCAGAATCTTGACCATTTATTCACTCAACAGTTTTGAATGTTTTATGCACTAAGTACTTGGGGCTACAAGGGTGAACAAAATAGAATTTCTATAGTTACAGAATTCAGACTTCAGCAAAGAATACAAGTAAGATATAATTCCTACTATGATAGAGGAAATGCAATGTACTGTAGGAATCTGTAAGGCTTGAAGATACAAGAGAACATGAGAGAGATATTCAGTATGAATCCACCAACTTTGGAAGGTGGAGGGAAGTTGTACGATGAGAGTGAAGGAGGTAAACAGAGTGGTTTATGGAGCAATGCTAGCCTTGATCAGAGTTTGAACTTTACTTTCAGTACACAGTAAGGTAATTTTTTTTTTGAGAGGAGTCATGCAATCCAATTTACATATTTAGAAAGATTACACTAATTATATTGTGGAAACTGGATAACAGGACACTAGATACTGTGACACTGGTTGAGAGATGAGTGAAGGTAGTGGCCTGAACTAGGGTTTTGGCGATAGGGATGGAGTAAAATGACAAAAGACGACAAACACTTAGTAAGGCTTTGAATAAAAATATACTTAGGTGTGTGTGTGAGTGTATGTAGAAGAGATGCAAGATGAGGCATTTAGCCCTGATTCTATATAATTTAACCCAACGCTGAATTTCTAATTCAAATGAATATATTCAAACAACTACTGCACATAGAAGTCTGGTACTTCAAAGAGACAATTTGTTTTTCTTTTTTTTTGGTTAATGGGAACTGTAATTAGAAACTGAAACCAAAGAAAGAAAGTGCATAGTAAGAAGAGATTCTAGAGATAGATGGAACTCCAATATTTGAGTAGCAGGTGGGTCAAAGAAGTGGGCTTAAAAAAGACTAAGATACTGCTTAAGATAAAAAAGAAGAGGGAGATGATAATTTTAGTAACTACAGTACGTGTCTAGAAGAATAGAGTAGTAAATACTATTAAATGGCACAAAGAGGTTAGGGTACAAGAACTTAAAATGTCCAAAGGTTTAATAGTGTATTGCAATTTTCTTTTCCTTACTTTCTGCTGAAAAGCCTTTTTAGAATCTACTCTCAAATCCTTACACCATAAATTTAAAAATAATTTTCATTTTTAAATTGTAAATTGACAAATTATAGTTGTATATATTGATAAAGTGATAGTATGATTTATGAATAAAAGGTGGAATTATTAGATTAAGCTAATCAATATACCCAGAAAAATTTTTGGAGCAGAATATTGTATATCTGTTTACCTACTCTAAATGTCAGTGCTTTATACATAATGTCAGTGCTTTATACATAAAAAAAGTATAGCTGAGGTGAATTCCAAGTTTGAGGTCATCCTCAGCAACTTGGTGAGACAATTAACAACATAATGAGAACTTGTCTCAAAACAATAAATAAAAAAAGGTCTGGGAATGTAGGTCAGTGGTAAAGTACCCCTGAGTTCAATCCCTAAAACAAACAAACAAACAAAAAAGAGTACAATTTTCTTTGCCTTACATGATACAGTATCTATCCACATTGAGAATGCATGACAAATTTTTTGGAAAAAAAAATTTTCACAATACCTTTATTCTTTTTATTTATTTTTATGTGGTACCGAGGATTGAACCCAGGGCCTCACACGTGCTAGGCAAGTACTCTACTGCTGAGCTATAGCCCCAGCCCAAGAATGCATGACTTTCCAAAAAAAATTTTTTTTAAATTGCAGATGAACACAATACCTTTATTTATTTATTTTTATGTGGTTTTGAGGTTTGAACCTAGTGCCTCACAAGCACTCTACCACTTAGCCACAATCCCAGCCCTGAGAATGAATGACTTAACACACAGAGAACATTCAATTTCTTGGTGAAAATAGTTTCAGTGGTAGTTTAGTGAAATGCTGGAAAAAAGTCATTTTAGTAGGCTGAGGCTGAGGCAGGAGGATCGCAGATTCAAAGCCAGGTCCAGCAACTTAGCCAGGCCCTAAGCAGCTCAGTGACCCTGTCTCTAAATAAAATACAAAAAAGGGGTGGGGATGTGGCTCAGTAGTTGAGCACCCCTGGGTTCAATCTCCAGTACCCCACTCCCACCAAAAAAAGAAGGGAAGAGGGGCTGGAGTTGTGGCTCAGTGAAAGAGCGCGCTTGCCTTGTATAGGTGAGGAACTGGGTTTGATTCTCAGCACCACATATAAATAAATAAAATAAAGGTCCAACAACTAAAAAACATTAAAAAAAAAAAAAAAAGGAAGAATGTATGTTTGGCTGCAGGAAAATAAGGGCTTCTATTTTCTCTGTGTAATGGGAAAGACTGTCATTTAAACAGGAGAGAGTTCCTCTTCTCTGTACATGCCCTTTTGCTACTCATGAATTAAGATCTGAACTACTTATGAATATCTAATCTACAAGAAACACCAATAGCATATTAGGTTGGATTGTTAGAAACATTGTAAAAATATCAAGATTCTGTATGAAAAATTAATCCTGTTTTAAGAGAGCAAATTATTTTAAAATAACGAATTATTTAAGATATCTACATATGAATTTCAGGTAATTCTTCCGTCTCTTCACTGGCTTCACTCTTCCTATGGTCTCAACTTAAAATCCGGACTCCCCTCAAGTTAATCCTTCCACTCCCTTCTATCTCCTCCAGGATCTTATCTCCTTTCCTGAATTTTTACTTTATACATTGATTACTTGCTTTTTGCTCCTAAGCATGTCTTGTAATTTTTACAACGAATAATTCCCAAACCTTTCCTCCATGCCAGCAATATTGCTTCATGCCTCAAAACATGCAGAGTTTAATCTACATTTCCTGTCTTTCCTCAGTCACTGATTGTTAAACGAGTTCTCTAAAACTAACCAATGACTTTCTAGTCATCAGATCAACTATCTATTCTGATTTCAATGTTCTTCTTTGACTCCCTGATAACTTTCACCAAAACAAAACAGATGTTTCTTACCCTATTATACATTTTTTTTGTCTCTTCTCATCCTGAAAGTTGCCGACTTAATTTTCAAGACTTTTTAAAAAATTAATTGTTTCTACCTATTTCCACCTAAGCCATCGTTTCAAATTCGAAAAATCCAAACTCCACAAAATTTCTCCCCCTCCTGTGAAAGCTACTTATTTTATCATGGTACCAACTTCTCAACCATATAGTTTGGAAGCTTCAGGTTCAAACATCTAACCATCACATCTAACCAGGCCCATCACTCTTCACTTTTCCGTATTCACTCCCACTTCCTCAGTTTATATCACCTCTCTTCAGAAGAAATGCAAGTCCCTCCACCCCAAGCTCATCTAGGAGCCATTCTCAGAACGTCCGCTCAGACCCATAGGGGTTTTGTTCCTTAAAACGGAAGCCTTGAGTCTGAAATTAAAATCGTTGGAATTTCAGCTCACTGTGGTTGCACGATTTTTTATCCGCGCCGGAGGACGGAGAGGGACCCCAGTGAGCTTGACCTACTGGGGCCAGGTGTTTGAGAATACTGGGTTGCAGGTGTACCTCTCCCTTTGGGCCCAGCTGACAAGAAAGCCCGGAAGGCCGAGCGTCGGGGAAGGCGCGGCCCTCGCCCACAACAGCAAAGACGCTCCCGAAGCCCAGGCAGAAGTCTCGAGCTCCAGCTCTTCAGCGGACTCCCTAGTTTTTTGAGCAGTCCCCAGTTTGCACACTCCCCGCCCCTCACACTCACCCCGACACCTGGGAAAGTCAATGATTCGGCGCCGGGTCCTCTCCGGACCGAAGCTGAGGCAGCAGAGAAGGCCGCGAGGACCCCGTACTTAGAGTGCCCCGTAGACTGCCTGATTAACAGCTCCAAAGACACAAATTCCGTTTACAGAATTAGAATAAATCAGCAGAAAGACTTAAATGAGCGGAAACACGTCTCTTGAGGTTGAGGATCCAAAGCTTCTAAATTACCCAGGATCTAGAAGAATGAGGAGTTTCGCACCATCTAGATGCAGGCGCTCATCCGCAGCCTAAGACGCTCTGGGGTCCCTTACAGTAGGCTAAATGGGGTCACAAGGGGCGGGGCATTTGCTGTGGGGCTGAGAAGGTAGAGCCAATGGTTTTGAACCCGAGAGTCCCAAAATAGGCGGAGTCGGGGGGAGGGGTTTAGGGGAGAGGAGGCGGTGATGCGACGAGGGGGCGGAGCTAGATAGCTGAGGGGCGGGGCGTGCGGTGGAGTCTAAGTAAGGTGGGAGTACGAACATGGCAGCAGCTGAGGAAGAACCGAAGCCCAAAAAGCTGAAGGTGGAGGCGCCGCAAGCGCTGAGGTGAGCGCTTCCTGACGTGGGGAGGAGGGTGACGGCGCTTGCAGCAGACCAGGACCCACGTGGGGTTGCGCCAGCACCCACGCTGGCTTCTGTCGTTCTCCCAGCATGGGGCCAATAAGCAGGACCTGCTCCTCTGGGAGTTGCTCTTTTGGCCACGACCTCTCGCCTGGCGCCTTCTCAGTTTGGCTCAGTCGCCTCTTACTCAGGTGCGGCTCTGCTCTGGCAGCCCTTGACCAATCGAAAGCAGCCGGCCAAGGGGCCTATCCTCCTGCCGGCGCCACGTGCGAGTCCACCCGGACTGGGCTGGTGCGCCCCCAGAGTACCAGTCTGGAGCACTGTCCGCCGCTGCTATCTTCTCTTGGCAAGGAGAAAGCGGCGACACGGCCAGCGCCTTCCCTACCTAAGGGCAAAGATAGTATTTTTGGGGACTTTTCGGAAAGTGTTGGGATTTTTTCCCCCGCAGTTACACACTCTGAAAGTCGGCGCCTTTGCAGACCCTTTACCAGGGATCCAGACCCAGAACCCAGCTCCCAGGCCTTGCGGGGGCGGCATTTGGCTGAATGTATAGGAAAGGTTGATTTTTGTTTTTTATTTGCATTCTTTTGGCAGCATCGGAGACAGTTCTGCCCCTAATACCTGCCTCTTACGTGATTGATGTTGCAACTTTTACTCATAAAAAATTCTTTGTTAAAACATTTCTTCCTAATAAGAATAAAAAACGCAGCACGCAAATCTTTGATGATTTTGAAATGTTCATTGGAAGGCCGTGATTTTGTTTTTTGTTTTTTAGGTTTTTTTTGGTCCAAAAATAGACATCAAACATTTAAAACCTTGAGGACACTGCTGATTATCCATTTCTTCCAGCATCACTCTTCTTCATGAATTATTCACAATTGAAAAGGTCACTTAGGGGTTTGGTTGTGTGTTCATGTTGTTTTGAATGGAGAATGGCCAAATCCCTATCAGTGCTTTTAATGTATTCCTACCTTATATCAAGACCATAAAACTTTTAAAATAACTTAGGATATTCTATTTCTGTTTTAAGCTTCCAAACCATTTTAAGGTAGAATAACGCAAGGGCATTAGAATCAGATCTACCTGAGTTTAAGGCGAGCACTTTCTCCATTTAGTGCTTTATTAGAATGCTTGCTTAAAAGGCGCCTCCTTCACCAAGCTTCCAAATTGGAAGACAGATGCATCTTTTCCCTATGATTCTACTAATCATGCAGCCTTTCGATTTTGTCTTAATAAAAACAATACTTTATATATAATGTTGAGCCACTTCAAAGTGTTTTCCTATTTATTATCTTGTAGGACAGCACTATAATTTAAGACAAGAATTACTCCCATTTTACATATGAGAATAGTGAAGCCCAGTTGAAATATTGAAGAACACAAATATGAAGTCAGGGCATCTTTGTTATTTGATTCTACTGTGCCTACTTTTATATAAATATACAAGATAGTATTTGCTTTTGCATCTTTTAAAATAATGATAAATAATAATGTTTAATACTTAAATATGTATATACCAGGTACTGTTTTGGCATTTTCACATATTTTAGCTTAATTCCATGACAGCCTTTATAAGGTAGACACTATAATTGTCTCCATTTTATCAATAAGAAAACAAGCACAGATATGTCTTTAGTGTCTATATAACCCTCATAAAATTCTTTAGACAACTAAATTATTCACTTTATACAATATTAACCTAGTGATTAGACATTTTGAGTACTGGGACAAATTTGAATTTGGTATTGGCCGTTCTTTTTTACTGTATTGGTTTGGCTTCAGGTTTGCAGTGTAATAGTGCATTGAGTTATACTGAATAACTCTATGACAAGTTGCTTAACAGATAAGGGATAGCTACCAGTTTTGACTGTTAAGGAGAATGACTTACACATTCTAAACATTATATTTATTTTTGGTATAGGGGATGAACCCAGGGGTGCTTTACCACTGAGCTTTATCCCCAGTCCTTTCAAATTTTTTATTTTGAGGCACAAGGTCATCAAGTTGCTGAGGCAGGTGTAGAATTTGTGATCTTCCTGCCACAGCCTCCCAAATCTCAAATTACAGGCATCCACCACTATCCTCTAGGTGTAATTTAATGTGTAGACTCAGTCAGTCAGTGTAGAATCTTTTTTGTTTTGTGGTATTGGGGAATTAATCCAAGGCTTTATACATGCTAAGCAACTGCTCTACCTCTGAGTTATATTCCTAGCCCTTTTTTATTTCATTTTGAGGCATGGTCTTGCTAAATTGCCCAGGCTGGCCTCCAAATGTAATTATCCTGCCCCATGTTTGCCACCATGCCCAGCTGGGAACAAGTAAATCAGTGAGATTTATTTGTGTCAGATAAAGAATTTAGGTATTGTGAGAATTTCAGTTAGCTCCAGGGCAATAGTTCTCAACCATGGGAAATTTTGTCTCCAAGGGGAAATTTGGCAAAGACTGAAGACACTTTTCTAAATTAATTAATTAATTAATTAATTTTTATGTGGTGCTGAGGATTGAAGCCAGTGCCTCACATGTGTTAGGCAAGCGTTCTACCACTGAGCTACATCCTCAGCCCCTGAAGACATTTTTGATGGTGAGTGTTACTAGTGGGTTTTTTTTTTTTTTTTCATACTAGGAATTGAAACCAGGGGTGCTTTACCACTGAGCTATAATCCCAGCCCTTTTTACTTTTTATTTTGAGACAGGGTCTTGCTAAATTGCTCAGGCTGGCCTTGAAAATGCAATCTTCCTGCCTCAGCCTCCTGAGTTGATAGGACTACAAGTGTGTGCCACTGTGCCTTGTTAGTAGGTAAATTTTAAGGATGCTGGTAACCATCTACAATGCACAGGACATCCCCTTACAATAGAGAATTGTTTGACCAAGATTGTTAAGATTGTTGAGGTTAGAAAACTCTGAGGGAGAGCATCAGATAAGAGTAGCCTCTCTTTTTCATATATATTTTGTTTTAGAAAGGCTGGGTTGCTTTTCAGGGTACAGCAGTTGCTAAAATTGCAAAGAAAGACTTTAATATATTTTCGGCTGGATTTGGGTAGAGGGGTTCAGTAATGGAGTGCCAGACATACTAGGTGTCTTATGTAGATTATTTCATTTAATTTTCCCAACAATTATGAGATAGGAGTAATGGTTCTTGTGTTACAGGTGAAGTAGATAAGGCTGAAAAAAGGGAAAATTCATTTTGGGGAAATACTCCCTAAATGAAGATACTCCTTGATGATTACCTATATTTAGGACTACTTAGATTTCTTTTTTTTTCCCTTGGAAATCTTATCTAAGTTCATTTCTTCTGCGGTCACCTCTACAAGGATACAGCGCCTTCCAAGGCTTATTGAGCACATGCCAAGTCTGTTCTTTCACTCTATCTTTCAAGTACATGCTATTTTAGGCATGGTACTAAAAACTGGGTTTAAAGAGTAAGACCAGGTTCCACCCTCCTTTTTGGAATTAAGTGGGGTTTGGGAAATTGATTCCTGGAGCATTTTTTTTTTTTTTTTTTTTTAAAACAATACCTTTTTTTTTTATTTATTTTTTTATGTGGTACTGATGATTGAACCCAGTGCCTCATGCATGCCAGGTGAGTGTTCTACAACTGAGCCTTCTGGAGCATTATTAAAGATGACTGGAAGTTAGAACTAAGTGTGAAGTAGGGTATCTGCCTTTATAGGAAAGTTAGTTTGGAGACAGAACTGGGAGAAGTTTCCTCTTTGGGGAACTGCAGATGTTTTGGCCTGACTGGAGCAGAAAAGGTAGAGGGCCTAGGCTTCATATTGGGCATTTTGATATGTGATCTTTCTATCTCTGTGTCTCTTAGCTTGAACAGCCTAATTTTAACTGCTCTTCTGAGTAACTTGCTGACCTTCAAAGTCAAAACCAACTAAATCCATCTATTAGCTTAAATCTGCACCTTTTCCCCTGATTTCAGCGTCTGTTAGTGGCACCATTAGCCTCCTTTTCTCCATAGTTTAGACTTTATCTTTTGCTTAGATTTTGTACTGTCTTTCTAACTAGTCTCTTCACCTCCAGTTTCAAGTTCTGTCTTCTTTTTCTCTTCTTCCTCCTCCTCCTTTTCCTTTTAATTTTTTTGGTGGTACTGGGGATTAAACCCAGGGCTGCTCTACCAGAGCTACATCCCCAGCCCTTTTTTATTTATTATTTTGAGATAGGGCCTCACTAATTTGCCCAGACTGGCTTTGAACTTGTGATCCTCCTGCCTCAGCCTCTCAAGTAGCTGGGATTATAGGTGTGTACCACCATGCTCAACCTACCTTATCTTCTTTTTTAAAAAAATTTTTAAAATATTTTTTTAGTTATCAGTAGACTTTATTTAATAAATTTATATTTGGTTCTGAGAATTGAACCAGTGTCTCACACATGCTAGGCAAGTGCTCTACCATTGAGTCACACCCCCAGCCCTGCCTTATTTTCTTTAGGCACAGTTCTACTTATTCATCATAGCAAATATTTTTGATCTGTGAAGTTGATATTAGGAAGGATTGAATCCTAAGAGCCTACTTCCTTACTACCTCTGACATTAGCAATTAATG